TCATAAATTTTTCATCGCATAAACGGACCCTTCACAAAATAAATTATTGAAAAACGAATCCTTCACAAAATAATTTATCATAAAAATGGACCCTTCACAAAATAATTTATCGTAAAAACATTTTATTGAGGAGACTGGCTTTTCACAAAACATTTATTTTTATGCATGGAGTTAATGACGTCTGTAATTCAAAATTTTAGAACTATCTTGAAATTTAAATTTTTTTTTTCCCTCCAGAAATAGGATTTTATTATCAAAAATGGATTTTTCTCAATTTCTCAAAAATGGACCTTTCACATAAAATTTGAATCGATCACTGATTTTTATGATTTTAGGACCTTATCTTCAAAATTTCTTGTTATAAGTATTTTTTTTTTCAAAGTGACAAAAAACGAACCTTTCACAAAACAAAATAATTGTATAATGATTTTACTCAAAATTAGCACTTTATTTTCTAAAATTCTCAAAATTTATTATCAGATTTTTCACAAAAAGCCTTAAAGTTCATTGGGAACAGCGTTTGAAACTAATTTGAGCATAAGACTGAAATTTAATTTTTTTAAAATTTCTTTGAATTAGTTTATAAAATTTCTTTGAATTAGTTCATTAGTTTTCAAAATGAGAATTTATTTTTAAAGGAATATCACTCCTTTCAATGTTTTTTGAATTTAAGTAAGCCTGCGTCGGTGTTTGAAATTTATCTTTGTAGCTAAGTGGATGAAAGGTAGATAGCACGAAGAAGGTATTGAAATGAATGACTTAACTCTTTCATACTGTCACTTACCTGCTTCAACACCCGTATCTTTTTAATCAGGATTCTACAGTGATTTAATTAACGTTATTAAACAGGACTAACTCATATACCTTTATTACAATACAATCAAATCTAAAATTTAAAAAAAAAAAAGTTGACATGTTTTCTTCACTCACTCATTCCTTCAATCAATTGTCAAAGTGCGGCAGTATAACTGTTTCAATAAATTACCTTTTAATTGTATTTCCTATGCTCTCTTCTTTATAGCGTTTGTATGATGAATGAATTTGTTTAAAGCGTCTTCTTCACTTTGTGTCAATTACTTGCACAAATCTTGAGCCTTTAACATTTCTTTTTTATATTGCTTTGCCATCAGATAGGAGTGCGTTTACGTATTACTATTACATCGCAAACCGTTATCTTTCAATAAATGGATGAAATTGAGGGGAAAAAATTGGAATTATTTTTGGTTCATAAACAAACCTTGAAGGTATAATTCCATATAGTATTAGGCTTCGAAAGTGAAGAGATTATATGTTGTATAGGTCGTGGATATAGACAATGTATTAGACACTGTATTATATAGACACTGTATAATAACTAAGACATTAATTAAGGTCTTAGCTATTATACAGTTTGAAGCTATTATACAGTAGAAGAGTGGCCCACCCTGCCTACCCTTTTACAGAGGTAAATGCACCCTCCTTGCCTTTTTGTAAAAATGTTGTCCCACTTTTTTTATTTAGAAAAAAAATGCTCTTTTTTTTTTTAAGAAAAGAGAATGCAGTTGCAGGAACTAGGAATTTCAAATTATCATAAATGCTGATAATTAATTTTAGGTTAAGTTAATATATATAAAATATTATTTCTCATATTTGAGTATTTTAAATTCCACTTTGAAGGGCACTATAATTTTGAAGGGAAATATAATTGATATAATTTGCAAAATTAGTGCCCTTCAAAAATGAAGGTGCCCATACTTTTGAAAAAGCACTCTGTTAGGAGATCTCTGTATTATAATGTGTATCTTAAACTTTCCCTTTTGCGTCCCTGAAACTACTTTAGACGTCCAATACTTTATCTATTTAATTTCTATTGGTCCGCATCTAAGTCAGATTTTTCTTATGATATTTCTGCTAGTCCCTGTTGTCTCTTATCTCTGCTTCATTCATCTGTAAAAAAAGGTCATTTAAGTGTATCAGCTTTATCTCTACTGTTGAGGTCATAAGCAACTTTCTTCATACGCATTTGAATGAATCCTTTCGAAAAAATCATTGAAATCGCGCGACTACTTTTTCCATTCAGCACGCTTATGTATTTTCAGTATCCAATGAGGAAATCTGTTGTATTTTGAATGTGATTTTGGATTTGCCTTTCAAACAGTTTGAGCAGGTGCTATATTTTTACTGACAAGGTCACGTTGCCAAGTGTACCAGTTAACTCTTGCAGTTGTGAAAATTCCTACCTCAAACAATTGTCCTTTTTGAAAAAAAGAAATCGATTTAGTGCTTTAGTATATCTGATAAAGCGTTAACCAAGGGGTCTGTCCTGACATTTTGTAAAGGGTCCGGTTTTTCTAAAATTGTGAAAAAAAACTATTCATAATTTGTGAATATAAAATAAGCGTTAAGTCAAATTCTTTCAACCAGGGTCCAGCTTTTGTGAATTTGTGCAAGTAGTGTCCCGTTACTTCAAAAATTGCTAAAAACCTTTTCAAGAAGTTTTTAAATTGTAAATAGATACAAGATTATGCTCAACAATTGCTGCTACTAAATTAGAGATGCAACAGACACATATTTGGTATCTAACCTATACTGCTCAATACAGAATATTCATTTCGGGCAAATAATGGAAATAAAATCTCACATTTTTAATAATTTCAATTGACATATTTTAAATAATTCAACTTAGTAATGTATCACTTTCAATGTGTTACGCATTAAGTAAACTTAAACAATTCTTAAATTTATAATATTTTATTGCTAGAAATTAATTTTTATTTGCATAATATTCTATTAATTAATTTTATGAGTAAATATAAATTGATCAATTATTTATTTACAAAAAAATATATGATTTAATATTAATAAGAATGCTCACCCGATGTTTGTAAAAGTAGAAATATTATCTTAGAATATTACAATTGTAATTTAAACTTAGGGAAACTTAGTTTGTCTCGAACCGTCTTTCTTCCCCCCCCCCCGGGAAGATTTATACGATTAACAAAACAATCAAGAAGATAAACAAATTTGTGAAGGATCCGATTAAAAGTTAAATTATTTTGTGAAGGGTCCGTTTTTATGAAAAGATATTTTGTGAAGGGTCCCAAATTTCTTCTTAACTAACCCCTGTAAATAGAAATATTTTATAAGAATTTTATGATAGTAGTTATTTTAATCTAAATAATTAAGTAAATTTATTGAATGGTATTAATAAAACATGGAAGCATTTGCAAAGTGTATTCAAGAAATTTATTACGAAATAAGTGCCTAATAGCGCCATTAAGTGCCTGTCTTACTTCTGTCTCAATGGCAAGACCTGAATAATTCCTGTAGCTACTTACGAAAATTCCGAAACTTCACTCAGCATTACAAATTTTAGAATCTACTTGGAATACTACTTTTGAATCTACTTGGATATTTTCAACAAACCACATTTAAAGATTAATATATATTTTTATAGGTGCAATGTAAAAAAAAAAAAAATTTTTTTTTCTTAGAAAAAGAAAGTTTCATATAGTCTAAATGGTTTTTTTTATTGACCTTTTTTTTTGACTGCATACGATACAAAAATTTAAAGTATCGTGTGCAGTCAATAAAAAAGGTTCAAATTTAAGCATTCTTTAATTTGCCACAAAGCAGTTATTAAATGCATTACTATTTTTTTTTTAATGTTACCTTTAATTTTATGAATAGTAACTTTAATTACTATTCATAGTACACTTTTTCTATACAAAATTCTTTCAACTATAAATGGATCTCTAAACTCTGATCTCCTAACTTTGTATATTTATTTTTCTTCATTATTTAATTTGATTTACTAGTTTCTGAGAAGTTGAGGTTTTATGTTCTCAAATTAATAAGTATGTGCTGAGAGTTGATTTTTTTTATATGTGTTATCAATTTATTATTTAATTCTAATTTTCAGTAAAACTTTTAGATGACAAAAAACAAATCACGCTATCTCAAAATGAACTTCTTTTAGAAACTGAGCCAATCTATTTAATTTATTTTAAAAGCTCAATTTGTTATTCAATTGCTCTGACTAATAGGCACATTTGTACGAAAACACTATCATTTTTCCAACTGATCCCTTCAATGTTTTTTTTAATTTTTATTTCTTTATAAATAAAATATCTTTATTAACAAATCTAATATTTTTTTTCTTTTTGTGACTTACGAATTAAAAAAAAATTGTAATGATTGCGGAAGAATGGTATATAACCCTTTGACGCATATGGGACACCCGTGTCCCTTTTAGATATTTTTTTTTTTCTGGCCCTCCAATTACAAGCAAAAATATATTTTGGTATTTTTTAGTTACAAAAAACAGTCTCTAAAGTTATTAAAAAAATATGTTAGATCATCGGAATTATATTTGTACTGAAATATAAAATTAAAAAAAAAAAAAAAATTGATTTTTAATTTTTTTAAAATTTTTTTTTTATTCTTCAAAATTTTATCAATCATTGATTTTGTAAGTTAAAGAAATGTAAAAGGTGAATAACTGTTTCCATTAGAACTAAATAACTGCAAATAAGTGCAAATTTGAGAAAATATTGTATGGAAGTGAGCCGTGTTCGGAAGGTTTTACTTTTAGCGCATAAAAAGATACCTGTGTTTCATGCTGTATTCCTTAATCATAAATTATTTAAATGCTAAACATAATATTTTGACCTAAATTACTACAAAATATTGAAAAAAGTGTGAAACATATGCTTCATAAAAATTCTCCGTCAAAGTGTTAAGACCTTAACATACAAACTGAAACAGGGAATTAATTGAAAGATAATAATTGTGTTGTGAAAGGATCAGTTTTGACTGTCTTGCTTTATCCACCTGTAATTAAAGAAAGAAACAGCAATCTTCATTACTTCCCCCTTTTTTAACATTCATAAATGTTCGACTGTAAAAAGCAACGAAACCACTTTCCATTGTTACCCCCACTTTTCCCCCTGGAGCGTGCCCTTCACAGTTTAATATCACGGATGTTCTAATAATGAGGAAGCTTCAGCAGCGTGCTCAATGCTCACCACAGAAGCGTCCCAATCAAAACTCCCTTAAAACAGTGATCTATCGAGCTATGCGCTCATTTTGTGTTTATCAAGAACACTGACCAGCGTATCGCTTATTACGATGTCGCAATCGATCTGTTTGGCACCGTTTTGTGAAAACTCAAGCGAGCATTGATAGTTGTTTCCGCGTTTTCTTGATACTTGGAGAAAAACGTGCTTTTTGCAAGGTTGTGTTTTGATTGTGTGTGTGGTGGTCGTAGCCATGCAACTCCGGCGTCGGATCGGAATGCTGCCCGTGTATAAACGTACCATTAGGCGGGACCTGGCGTAAGTTTTAATTTTTGGAATCTTTTTTTTATTTTTTTATTTCGAGTCAAAATTTATATTTGTTCTAGAAAATTTTCTAAATCTTATCCAACTTGCATAAGAATAAAGACGAAAAAAAAAATTATTTTAAATTTTACTTTAAAGTCTTAAGTAATATTATTGATATATAATGTATGTTAATAGTATTGATTTATTTCGTATTAGCTTTAATACATGTTCAACTACATTAATTGGATTTTTCTTCTTTTAATCAATGTTTTTCTTAGTAACGCGTTTGGAGTTAACTGATTTTGGAAGTTCTGAATTGATTTCTAATAAACAACCTATGGGGGGGGGACGTCATTTCGTATTGGTATATCAATATAATACTAAAGAAGATGGTGAGAATTAAAAATAAATTTTTTTTTTTTATAGTCAGACTTTTCTTATCGTTTTACACTAGTGGGAATTAAAGAAGTTATCGGTTTTTATCCTTCTTTTAATTGGCATGCAAACTTTAGTTTTTGTGTTATTTATGCATGCATTTTTTTTTAAATGAAAAAAAAATTATGTTATGGAAATCTAAACACAAGATGATTTATAAAGAAAACAGTTCAGTTGTCTTTGTACTGGAGTAAAATAATGTACGAATGGAAAGGTTAGTACTATTGTTTCCTTACATTATAATGCAGAGATTGTCACCTGCACTGATGTATGTACTTGTTTATAATAGGGGTGCGATAATTTATTTTATTTCTCTATTTATTTAACTTTGTGCTCTTAGGTTATCTATGTGTCAGGTTGTTTAGTTGCAAGGAACATTAATATGAAATGAAAATATTTTAATGGAATAGTGGTAGGATATTATATGCGGCAGGGGTGCAGAATATATCTAATCTCGGGATAGAGTTTCGGGGGAAATTCTAGTAGCCCGGGAAAATTTTGGCCGAATTAAAAAAAAAAATAATAATAAATTAGCTACAAAAATTGTTATTGTAAAAAAAAGTATCGCTTTACAAATTTCTTTTTCCTTTCTATTTTTTTTTTTTTTTTGAAAAAAAAAGAAAAGGTAAGAAACGCAATGATTGTTTTTCGCTTATACAGAAATTCCTCTGGTAATTTTTTTCTTTCTCAATATGGAAAATCCCTTTTTTTTAAGGAAAATTAAAAATTAATTTTTCCAAAAGAAGTTCCGTTTTTTTGTTATCTACGACAATACGATTTTATTGACGCTCTCAAAGAGTGAAGATATAGACATAGTGATTTGCGTTCGTTTTTTTTACAAATCATACATCTCGATTCGCAGTACAGCGGTTTACGAATCACCATCGTGACTTACGATTGATATTCACTAGATTTACAACTTATCACTTTTTTTCGAATCTTATTTTTTTCCCCTATTCATATTAAATTGATTCATGTAAGAACAACGTTACAAGCCCGTCTTTCAACCTTAGGGTCACCGGTGTCCCTTTTCTATATTTTTTTCTGACTCTTTAATTTAAAGAATAAAATATATTTTGGTATATTTTAATTATAAAAAACAGACTACTCGTAACAAAAAAATTCTGTTAGATTTCGGAATTCTGTTTGCATTAAAATATAAAATTTAAAAAAAAGAAGTAGTTTAGAATTTTTATTTAATCCATATTCAAAAATTTGTCAATAATTGATTTTGTAAATTAAAGAAATTTCAATGATGAATAACTATTTCTCACTGATCTGCAAATTTGAAAATTTATTGTTTGAAAGATTTTACCTTTCACGCAGGAAAAAACACCGATATTTTATGCAGTATTTCTGATCCATTGACTATTAAATGCTAAATATATTGTTTTTTCCACTTATTTCGATCTTTTGTCATTACAAAATAATAAAAAAATTATGAAAAATATGTTTTATAAAAATTCTGCGTCAATGGGTTAACTAATGTCGGTCTAGTCCAGTGGTTCCTGAACTTTTTTGTCTCGTAGACCCCTTGCCATCTTTTTCGGCTTAGACCCCCTACTTACCTGATATTGGTTTTTTGTATATTCCTCAACTTCAAATGTATCTCTGACAGCTGATATTGAGTGCTACTCACTGTGAAAGATTTAAATTTCTAACTATAGTGAAGTGCAACTTAAGAAAAAAACGCTCCTTATTTTATACATTTATTAATTAAATTCAAACTAATTTAATTAATATGTAAATGGAATAAAATTGTGCACTACAAAACCCGTAGTCCGCACTAATATTATAATTGCGGAAATAAGTTTGTATACAAAACAGTAGCAGTTTTATTGTCGATCTGTTTATTACGTTTTCACTTAAAAACTAAGCAACAAATCTCCGTGATCTTGTGCGTAGATAAAATTGGAGGTGTAGCTAGCTAAAGAGTTGACACCGGCTAGGCTACAATTTACAGCTGCAAAATACTTTTTTGTTACAAAATAAAACCTTACGCGCAGAGAAAATAAAAACGTTCGCGGGCGGAGTTGCAGGTAGCTACTAGTTTATAATAATTCAGTTTCATATATCAAAAAATAATCCTAATAACTTAAATTTTAATAAAATTTTTACTTCGTAGCTACTTTTATAAATTATGTAGAATGTAGATGGATATATGTCTTTATATTACCAGCAGGGTTTGTTGATTTAAATCAGCTTGATTTAAATCATGATTTAAATCAAATGATTTTTTTAAAAAAATCATTGATTTAAATCAACTAATTTTTTTTTATATATATTGATTATAAAAGTTAAAAAACAGTGTTTTAAATTATTGATACTTTTATTATTTTCTTTTCTTAGTTTCAAAATTTATTTTAAATAAATTGTTGCATTAATTAATTTTAGTTAACGAAATTACTTTCTTTCTTGGTGTGTGTTAAATTCCAACATATTGAAAATTACAATTTTAAAAGTCTTTTGATTCTTGAGATTGAAAGCACAGATTAAAGTAAACATTTAATGCTGTCTTAATATAGACTTGCATAGCTGTAGAAAGTAATTATTAAACATGAATTTTTTCAAAAAATAATGTAAATATTGTTAATTAAAATTCTACCGTTTGAAAGAAAAAGCATGGAATTAAAATCTACATTATATTTATTGGTGGAAAATGTATATTTTTGAAGCTTTTTCAAAAGCATATTAAAAAGAAAATACCCAATTTGCCAAAAATAGAAAGAAAAGAAAAAGGCCAATAAATTCAGATATTTTTTTCCTGATATAGTGTCATTCTTCCCTTTCAAACTCTATTTGAAACAGTAGGGTTATTAACTGGTATTTTTGCTCATAATATGTTTACAGTATCTTTGACATCTGATTTTCTATAACGAAATTTTGTGGAAAAAAATTCCTATGAGTACATAGATTTTTTAAAAAAAAATATTTTTAGCTTAACGTATCTATTTTGATATAGAATTAAAAGTGAATATTTTAATATAAAAATATATAGATTAAATATTTATTTTTTGATGAATGACTACATTTATAAACACAATCTGTTACATTTATTTTGTCATTTTAAAAATCAAACGGAAAAAAAAGGAAATTTTAAATTAAGATTATGGTTTGCTAATTGAAACTCTGTTTGAATAGTTAAAGTACAGGGGTCTGTCCAAGTGAAATTTACTACCGTTTACCGGTACCTACACAACTTTAGGAAAAACGGTAGAACAATTCCACAAAATACTTTTTTCTCAACATTTTATTTTTGTGTCTCGTAAGAAAAGATAAATCCAAATTTTTAATTTTCAAAAATTATGTCTACATTTTCACAAAATAGTTATCTTTGAAAAACCTAGACAGACTACTAAAGTATTCTTTAAATTTTCTATTTGAACTAGTCCTTAAATTTCAATCATGCATTTGTTTCAAAATGGTTGCTATGCATTCAAAGCTATGTATTATAATGAAAAATTATTTTAGTAAGTTAAAATATTGTTCTAAATATTGTTATAATATAGTTTTAATATTAATTTAATTTTGATTAAGCATTTATAAAGTTTTTTTAATCATAAATTAAAGTTCTTACAGTGTATTTGAGTAAGAATCAAAAAAATCTGATTTAAATCAAAAAAATCCGATTTAAATCAAAAAAATCACAAACCCTGATTACCAGGTAGTATAATGTAAGTAAATAGGTACTATCAGTGTATGTTGATTATTCCATTCATGAAATGCCAAAATTAAAAGTCATGACCTGCTTATATGAGATCCACTATCGTTGACCCCCATTTTCATTTCATGAACCCCTAATTTTTTTTTTCATTTGACATGGACCCCTTGCAGGTTGTCGTCTTCCCCTGGGGGTCGATATAAACCACTTTAGGAATCACTGGTCTAGGCAATTCACTGCAAATGAAAATGAACAAAGCCACGTAGAAAAATTTAAGAATTTAGGAAAAAATTAGAAAATTTTTGTTTCTTTTTTACTTGAAATATTGGAGATTGGAGAAAATTGGATATTTTAGAGAATAAAAACTTCTTTTTACTTAGAAAAAGAAGAAGTGGGGGGGGGGGGGNGGGGGGGGGGGGGGGTCGATAACTTTGGGGGCTGTTTCAAATCTATAAAACTGTGATCTTTGAAAATATTATAAATATGTTATGGTAATATTAGAATTTTCTGCACCCGTGGTCGGAGGAACATGTTATATTGGAAGATATGGATTAATTATAAAACAAGGGTATAGGGAATCAAAAATGCCACCAAAAAAAAATAAATAAATAAATAAATGCTCTATTTCTTTAATAAATTCTTTATCGATTATTTCTAACAATACTTGGCTTTCTTCCCTCTTTACACTCTGATTGTGACAATTATTTAAAAAAATATTGTAGATTTGAAATGTTATTTTGCAAATGAATGTTTTTTTTCTTCTTCCTCGTTTAATATTTTAAACTGGTTTTCATTGTTCATATTGAGTGAGCTACATTCTTACTAATCCGAAAAAAGGTCTTGTGTATTGATGTATGATTTATTACGATTTCTTACTTTCAAACTTCATATGTCAACAGTTCATAAAGGAGTTGCT